AGTTAATTATTATATCAAATTCTAAAACACCTACATGCAAGACTTTAAATTCCTACAGTTATTTTACATTTTATAAACTACAATATTGTCTAATAATGATACTAATTGAAGAAAAATTATCTTATGAAATTTATCTTGTGACTGGTTGAACTAATATTGTGATCATTTCTTAAAACACGACGAAAAAAATATCTGCGTTGAGCATAATATTATAAGCCCACTTTAAATAGAATAAGACTAAACGTTGACACGGCTCGGTATCAACGGGCTGGCGTCCTTGTAATAATAAGTATTGAATACTGGTATCACGTTTAATCATATCTTACACAAATGATGCACACACACACACACAATTAAAGGGGCAGTGAGATTCCCGGGTACCTATGAGGGATGTTCGACCGTGAGTGTAAACAGTCCTATTCACAATATTGAGGAATATTTATTATGGGAGTGATTATGTACTAAGTACCGGAGACAGAGCTGCCCGTTGATAGGTAACTCGAAGAAGCGGCTACTACCAACCAGGGGGGGGGGTGCAGTTGGGATACGTCTGCCTACCTAGGCGCCTCGGTTGGAGCTTACACGACTTACTATCGTACGGTGAAGCTCTCGGTGAACTCTTTATACCTGACGTTATCACTCGATAAACAGTTTTCCTTCGAACCTCAATGCTGTGATTCTTGACCATCACGAATCTCCAAGACCGCCGACCCAATATTGGCCAGCGGACTTAGGTGGCCGCAGTTGTGGAACTGCTAATCGTCATTGGTTCGGCGGTCTTGGAGATTCGTGATGGTCAAGAATCACAGCATTGAGGTTCGAAGGAAAACTGTTTATCGAGTGATAACGTCAGGTATAAAGGTCGTGTCCCGTACCGCCTAGTAAACTATGCGTTTCGCCGTGTGTAGTTGTATCTCTATTTAGTACGGGATGACTTGTAGTTCGCAGGGTTTTGGGTCTATAAATACGGGAAAGATGTCATTCGATATGATATGGTCGACCTATGGATACCTATGTACATTGTATAGTCTAATAAATTTCATGTGTGCAGTTACTCAGGACTGTATAATATTGTGGTAAAGTTGTCCTAAAGGTTTGTACTGTAACAGTGTTCTGATTGGTGGTCCTCGAAAGGACCGTTTTGTAGGGGAAGACGATTGCACCGTTACAATATTGTTACAATTTACATTTTTATGTTAATCAATGTTAATATTAGGTACATCCAGGGGTGGTTATGGAATTGTAACCTTCCCCCCGCGCCGAAAAAAAATTCTAGACACGCCTCTGGGTGTCTATATGCCACATAATCACTAAATATTACTATTATTCTTAGTAAATACTCAATAATAATTTTATGAAATAGCTAATACATAATGAATAAAAATAAAATAGTGTTTAAATCGGTAAAAAATATTAAATGCGTCATAGAGATTTCATAAAACAGTTTAATACAATAATTGAAATTACTGAAAAAATTATAATCCTCTGATAATACAATAACACCGACAAAAAAATGTCTTTTTTAATTCATATTTATTTTACGTGCACCACAAAGATTAATCGACAATTATAATGTGCCGTGCTGAATAAATGATGAGATATTATATGTACTAAAATGCATAATGACATATAATTATTGTTCGTATAATATTTCTGTTTATGGAGATATAAAATATGCGCGTGGTTAGACGGACATAAATAACACCCACAGTCCTCGAGACCCGTGACTTGAGGAAATTTTAATCGGTAGAATATATCACACTAATGATAAACCGTCAAATTAAAAACGTAACTCAATTTAGGTTCACATTTCAATTATTCGAAAAACAGGATGGCAATTATATTTAGCTTATTTTTTTTCGTGATTATCAACATTAATTTCCTTTTGACGATTAACAATAAGACTATAACTACAGTCGGTTGCAAACCATAATATTATTATCATGTGGATACGGGTTATACGACCTATGAGACTCGGTTAGCGTCGACAGAATGGAATAATCCGCAAAGCACGCTTATTACTCATCGTGACAAAAAAAAAATGTTAATAATAATTTTATTTATTATTATTATTATTACTATTATACGTACAGTGTCAATGTCGGACAGAAATAAGTTATGTGTACAACAAATAACACCAAAACTTTTGAAACTCCATTTCCTCACTCGGGTGATATTTGCAGGAAAATGTTTTCTCTATATTATTATAACACCACATCATGCGTGTGTGGTTATGCTCGCTACGTCTTAACGTCATCTACACATATCGTAAAACCGTCCAATCATGTATTCGTATCGCCTGCGTGTACAAGGAGCTCAAGAGAATTTAGAAACGCTTCAATTGCAACTGTTTCCATATTTTATGCCTACATAATATAGCGCTAACAGTCAACACTGCTGCTCGTGTTTTATTAGGCAAAATATATTTTATTCGCCACATTAATTATATTATCATAATATTATCCTCTATCAGTCCTAAATCTTAATTATGAGTCTAATGACTGTTTCTTTTTGAACGCTCTGTATGTAGGCCAAACGGTACACGGGTACACGACTGGCACTATAATTATCGTTCCTGTATAGTTTTTAATTTATTATCCGCAAGTGAAAAAATCGATTTAATATAGTGAACATAATATTTTATTGAGTATCAGAGATCAAATGCAGGACCTGGACGACTCGTACAGTTATCATTATAAGAGAAGTCTATATAATAGTAACTTGCAGACCTATAATCCTAAGCCAACGACTTAGGCGAACTCGAACTCGAACAAAAAAAATTAACTTTAAAATACATGACGTAGTACGTACCTATAGTAGTTAATAAAGTTTTTCTTCAAACACCGTCAACTTAGTATCAGCTACTCTCCTTTCGACATAATTATAGTTTTATTGCATACTTCGAATTTCAATGGATATAGTCATAAATATCACATCACTATTACCTACAATATAGTATAATAATATCAGTATTGTTCAGTACTTGAGTAAAAGTATTCAAATACTTTTGAACACTCGAATAAGTGGAAAGTATCTGTATTTAAAATCAAATACATTTTTAAAATTTATTAATGCTCAATTTTAATTGTAACCACTTAAATATAAAAAAAAATTATAATTTATAAAAATATATTTTTTTAGTGTTATATACTCAACCAAAACTTAAATTCCTTCGACAAATAAAACAAATGAGTATATTATAAAAGTTACACAAGAGGATGTAAAATTTACGTCAAACATGAAAATCTGTTCAGTTGATTTCTGAGGTAAAAAAATGTATTTGATGTATTTTAAAGTATCACTTTTAAAATTTATCTTTTACAAGACTGGTGAAAATCATTTGTTATTGTCGTTTTTCACTAGACAGTAAAAACAACACAAAAAATATTTGCTTAAGCAATTCTTTTCAAAATTGTTTCACCAATTCAAAAACAGCGAAGTTTAAAAAATGTATGGAGTTATTATTAATATTTTAACATCAGAAAGAGAATTGTTTTACTCATTGACTGATATGGATCGTATTCCTTAAGCAGTCTAAGTTTTCTGACAGTACAAATTATGGTAATTTGATTAATATTTCCTAAATCCTTACTGATAGAAAATAAATCTAAATAATCCCTCTGTAGGCAACATAATATAAATATACATAATTATGCATATACAACCATTGGAATAATGATTTTTAACTTTTTTTCTTTATTGAAGAATCATATGATAAAAAATATTTTTTTAATTTTAACAAGGAAAATATTTTAAGAACACTTAAATTTTCCAACCATTTAAAAAAATAAAGTGACTGAAAATCCGAAACAATCTATTAGTAATACTTTCGTCAGAGTTGAGAATATATATGCACTCTTTTTCTTTAACAAAAACGGTTCATACTTAAATCCGTTTTTGTTTTTATTTTTTATCGATTATTAATCGACTTCAAAGGCCATTAGTGTTCTATGTAGATTTTTTATACACCTATAAAGTAGTTTGCGTAATTGTTGTTACAACTTACAATTATATACGTTTTAACTTTGTTATATTTCATCGTACAAATGTTTTTTTTTTAAATTATAATTACATTGTAATGAGATTGAAGTTTGGTCAGCTGCGCCTCATGTTGTGTGGTATACCTATTGAAGATTATGAGAGTACATTGGTGGCATTCTGTTATTATGTGTTTGGCAGAGTATAAGTATTGTTCCACAAGTCGTTTTGGTAATTATTTATCATTAGACAGTAGTCCATGAGATAATGTTTTCAATTTGTTTGATCAATAAGATAAGTATGTTTATTATTCTTTGTACCTCTTAATTAAATTCTAAATTGCAAAACCCCATTAAATCTTAACAAACTTGAAAAAGTAAATCCATATTATTTTTTATATTAGTTATAATAGCTATGTAACAGCTAATATATACATAGCTATATAGCATATATATAGCTAAAATTTAACTATCATTTCTTACAATTGGTATAAAAGTAATTTTATGTTATTTGGATCAGAGTATAAGAAGATATACCCAATACATTTAATCCTGAGATTATTGATGACTGTAATGATTTCCTCTACAAAGGAACGTATAATGCGATTACTCCTTTTACCCAAATTCAGAACTCTACTTATAGATTTTAATGTCATAATAAAGGCTTATAAAGGTTTCCACTTCCGAAAAGACGATCAAAACATAGTAACTTTTTCAAAACTACTAATTAGAAATTATTCGAAAACGAATTTATTCATAGGTATTAGATATACCTAACAGTAGTATGTTTCAACGAAGCCAATGAAGCGTTATATTAAGCTATGTTTATAACATAAAATTAAATTTTTATCACGCATACTTACATCTAACTAAAATATAGAGTACATTATATAACATAACATAACATTATACAATATAAAAATATTGTTACTAAAATTAATATTATATTTTGTCTTTTAGTTTGTATGAAATCATGTTTTTTATAAATATTTATTTTATGATCACACAATTGGTTTGTTTCAGAATATTTCTGTATTAGTTGTACTAATATACAGTTGGATGATAAGTTCAAATATGAAAAATGCAGTTCTACTTCAAGATGTATTTTATGGTGAGTAAACGTAATTCACTGAATACAATATATTTACATATATTTTAAACATCATAAACGACACAATTAAGAGAACGCGATTTACATCAAAATATAACGCACAATTTGAAGTCGATAAATTCCGATTTTTTAACCATTTTTAATATATTTACATATTATTTGGAAAAAATATACTTACTTTAAGTAACATAATATATTGATACATGATTTAATAGATTACAACTACTAACTGAGCATCATCAATAATTAATGAGCAGACAGTATAAAAAAATGTAACAAAGTGATATTATAAAATAATTTTAGATTTATTTGTTTACAATTAAGTTTGAGCCTTTATCGGGCATCGTTATATTTTACTTCCGTCGGTTTATTCTTCGTTTCGTAACTAAACTCAATCAAACATTTTTTAAACAGCTGTGTGTTGGCGTTACACATTTCTATACATTTTCCGGTTCATTTATATTTTATAAACATAGACGGATTACAACACAACTTCTAACGAAAACGGAAAGCATCTTTTGCTTTAATTTTCAATCAACTAAAATACCTCGTCGTATTCTACACCAGTATTATAAAAACGCCTCGGTGGTACCTACTGTGTTTAATACTGTATCAGGCAGAAATGAATTTAATTATTCAGATTGTAATATAGTAAAGCCGTGTGATAAACTGAGGGCAAACTCTTAATGCGAAGTGAATTAAATGGCATGATAAAATATTTAAAACCTAAAATTGCCTGAGAAGAACTTTTAGCGTCGAAGCGAAAACTTGTTAGTCGCGGAAGCATTGCTCCGCCTTTGCCGGAAAATCTGGAAAAAGATTAAACTCAATGTATAGATAGTTTCGTTGGAAACGGTTTATTAGCTTGTCGCGATTCTTAATGGTATTACAAATTATATATAATATATATACACATTGGAGTATATAATAACGAACAGTATATATTATTATGTACCTACTTGACTCCCGGTAAAGTCTTCTTAACCGACCTTTTTAACGGTAAATGCTGAGAGAACATTCGAAGATAGAAACCGAATAAGATTGCGTCGATTTCTTGACACTAGAGTTTATTGCCGATAGGTATTAATAATAATTCGATCGTAAAATACGCCCCTGTTCTGCCGGGCGTGTTGAGGCGATTATTATTACATTATCGTGAAAACGTCTACCCCGAAACACAGAAAAATGTATCTGCTGTGGTTGTTATCTGATCGTCTTTTGGTTCGTGATACACAAGCACGTAGCCACAATAAACGTTCGAGAGGGGAATATTTTAAAATAGTTCATTATTCGGCTATTTTTTATTTTTTTTTTTTACACACCAACCATACAATTTTCTTAATTTATGACTCACCAACAACCATACATACTATAGATAAATAAGTATATACATTGTGCAAAATATAGCGTATTCAAATAGTACGAACAGAGCACAATCAAATTAGGGTCTCACCTAGTAAAGCTTTCGCGCACACACACATATTTATTACACTGTTATATGAACCACACTGTGTGAAAAGTAATATCAATAACATAGTAAAGGCCGACATCATTTGAGCTTCGAAGATTATTTTTGGGGTCAAAAGACATATCAAAACATCACTACAGTGCAGAATATCTCGTTTGTTAATGGTATTACGATAAAAAATAAACTTCATACGAACATTGTAGGAAAAAAACATTTTAAAAAAAAGTTCTGTTTTGTTTTGTGTACAAGCTATTGTTTCCAATAGGCTATTCGGCCTGTAAACTGTCAACTATTCAAAAAAATTGATTTTTTGCTAAAAACGTACAGCCTTTTCATAAAGTATCTTGGTATCCATTGATTGTACGATGCAAAAAGTTGAACCAAAAATTTTGTTGACAAAAACCACATCCCTACAAAATTAATGAATTTGAATTTGAATTGCGCCCAAGCATTGATTATTATTATAGAAGTATTTATAATCAATTTTATAAGTAATACAATATAATAAATTATACAATGGTATAAGTATATTATTGCAGTATATTATCATTTGTAATGTCAACCTATGAAAAATACGAGTATATAAAAATAATACGAATGCATTATAGTGATATTTGAGGTTCGTGTTTTGTATTATCACAAGGTTTCTTAGTTGCTTAATCTAAATACCTAATGTGTACTGAATACGGAATTCAAGGAATTTTTTTTCTCAAAAGCAAATATGTTGAATCGAAAATGTATTCATCTGAAAGTCTGGTCTGTCACAATTATTTGTATTATTATTATTATAAAAAAAAACATTTATTCTTGACGCGCTGCCATTGGATACAATACAACTTTTACATTTTTCAATAATGGAAAATATAATATTTCGAGTTTATTTGAAAAAAAGGTAATATATCTTCAAAACTTAGTGGCAGTGAATAAAAAAAGGAAAATTTCACAATAAGTTCTTAGCCGTGGAATCGTACAGACGTGACCGATACGTGTCAGAATATTGTAATGCTTTATCATTCGAGTCAAAGAAAGGTAGACTGGTTTATAGTTGTCATCGCTCTGGTCTATGGACAGGTTTATCTTCCTGAGCAAGATGAATATGCCATAGAATACAGGATTAAATATGGTTATTTGGTAGTGATACAACAAATAATTCACTTAGACATGAGAGTGGACACATTTAATTAGGCCTTACTTTTTTAAATTTTTAATCTTAATAACTCAAAAACTACACCACAGATAGTAAATTGATTTCAGTTTCAAATGGTAGTTATGAGTTACAAATGGAGGTTGGTGAATGGGGACAAAGCCACTAGGTAGCAATTTAAAATCATTGCATTATTTTTAACTGATTAAGTGCCTAATTATTGCCCATAATCAAAAACCATATACTAGGGCAGTAGGGCTACTGCATGAGTAAACCATGCCAAACAAACGCATCTTGTTTTCCACCTCAGTGTTGCTGTAAAAATGAATGCATTCCTATTATTTTTAGAAAAGAGTATTTATAAATGTTGACAAGTGAGATTGTAAACTTTAAACAAAAAAAAAACGGTCACATTTTTATAGTACATTTAATAAATACATCGCATTGTCATAAAAAAAAGTCTTCTTCAATTTTTGTAGAATATATTTTACCATAAATCCCATAAAAAGCAAGATATTTACGATTAAATCATAGTATGATACATCTTAAATAGCTGACTGTTTATGGTGAATAAATAGATTATGCATAAAAAACAAAAGCAGATAAGTACATTGTCATTTGTCGACAATTTTTTTTCTTCTACGATTTTTGTTTGAAGTTTTTTATCGTATTTGGAAAACCAATGGAAAGCAAGATTTTTTAAAAATTATGTTTTCGTCATCGATGTAAGTAACCGTTGAACTCAGATAATCTTTGAAGCTCACATGATATCGATGAGGACTTTTCACGTGTTTCTCATAACAGTGAGTAGTAAAGTAATACAGAGACATCTGATAAGACTAGTTTCGGCCAACCTGCAACTACCCTCTGACGGTTAAACACATTCTAACTGAATGCAGAAAGTATGAACCACAACGTTTGATGTACCATCTAACTGACTAACTTGCTGATAATCAAAACAACAGTAGGTATCGTCAATGTTCACAGATTCCTAGGGGATACAGAATTTCATAATAAAATTTAGAAATGTATCAATATATTATTTATTATGAATGTATAATGTATGACTATTAATTTTAAATGTATTCTTTTTTTTTTTCTATCACTATATAGTTATAAGTTTATACTTGGTGTAACAATTTATTCCTCAATTTAATAATTATGTTAAATTTCTTGTAGCCAATAACCCTAGTTGACGAGGCAGTTGTTACCAATAAAAAAAGAGACTAAAATTCAGACCTAGTACAATGTAAGGTATAATTGTATTAACTGAATTCGCTCAAACGATAAATGTATTATTATTGTCTTACGTTTTTAAATTAAAAAATAATGTACATATATATATATATATATATAGGTGAGTTGGGTCTCGGTAGACTATTCAACCCCCTGTCCCTCACCACCCTCATAACTCGTGACCGCGAGCTTGATAATACACCGTTTAATATACGTATTTATTATGGATAAAACGGACGATGCTCGCCATTAATGCAACGTCTATCGATTACGCGAAATGCGAACGGCGTGCGAAATATTTGCCAGTTCGTCTCTAATGAATGAATTGCTCAGGCCGTGTAATATACGGCGCAGTTTATTCGACTGACGTATCGGCGGAAGCAACGAAACTAATTGATTAAATTCGCCGGACAGCGTTTGTATAATATTATATATACGTACACACGTGATATACATTATGTATTATATACACGCGACGCGTATAACAGTACACGGCCTGCACCCACACCCACACCCACACCCACCACCTACCCACTCTGACATTAGAAGACAGTATCACAGTGAACCCTCCTTCCTCACCCACTCGAACGCACCCCTCCTTAACTTTCTCCCCACTCCACGCCACCGATATCTCTGTCTACATCGTACCCCATTTAAGATGGGCCCCATATACTTCTACCACACCAAAAACCACCTACCGCCCCCCTCGCACACCCTACGTGATCCTCTATCTCGCTGGTTTTTTTTTTTTTTTTTGACATGACCGACGCCGCGAGTTATTCGGTAAACTTTTTTACGCTCGGGCGATAAGTAGTCGCCACGGGCGCAGCTGAATGCTTGTGACCGCTTTTGATTTTCAATATCGATTTTCATTTCATTTTTTTTATCCATAAACTCACGTTCGTCTCAAGCGATTCTCTCGCGTACGTGTCCTCTCACCCGACAATTAAATCGAACACTATTAAAAGTTATCCGTCGCCACTTTTCGAATTATCACCCAAAACCCAAAGTTCGGGAAATATAGCTTTCGAGAAAAATCGTAATATGGCATAAAAGTCTAAGTTTTCGACACAATTTAATATAACCGTCCGGGCGAACTATATAAACTTATAAAAATATGTTAAGTATTTTTTTATGACTTGCATTGGTATATCTTACAAAAAAACCACTAAAAATAAAATATATGACATCATATAATTATAATTTTGAGAAATATTACTTATATGATTTCCTGGTTAATATTTTATTTTTAAATTATCAAATATTTCTTGTTCAATTTTAAGCATTAAGATCTGTTTCTTAGAAATAAATAATGTATAATAATTATGTCAATTTATTTATGATTTATGCAATTTAAAACACATTTATTCATAAGTAGCCAAAATTGATTCATCTTACCTATCTATTATAGAGGTATCTATCTATACTCAATTTATTATATTAGTTAAACGGAATTCGATGTATTGATATATTACATAATGTATTACGTTAAGACACTTATCCATAATGTATGCTGATTATAATTAATATCTTGTTTCCGTTTTATCTGCTAAGTAATCTGCATAATTATTAATGAATTTCTGTAACCAATACCCAGCAGATTTGAATAATTTACCATTCAACCGCTATTTAGGACTTGAATCTCCGATTGTTATTTAAGTGGTACCCGCTGTATAATTTTTATTATTTTTTTATCACTTAAACTTCAATTTAAAATAATATGATTAAAATTCACGGAATAATAAGCTCAACAACATTTTATTCTTATGAATTTTGTAATATTTTGAAATCCAAACTATTTTAAAGGTGTAGAACTGTCATTATTCAATATACTGTAACTTATAAATATTTAGGCAGTCGTGGAACGCCTTTTACTTACAAATAAATAAATAAAAAATGTATAATGTCATTTTAAATTAATATTGATCTCTTGTCACCATAGTATTCCCGTTGACGTATACTATAGTTGATGGAACTGAATCTATACAATATATAACATTTACATTATACATCAGATCAACTCCTACTTTCTGAACCTTTTGATAACCAACCCATCTTATGCACTGGTGACTATAGTACAATATTGTTCAAATTTCTATTTGATAAGCGCCTATTCTGGTCTATGGACTGTTCACGTTCCCTCAACTATTGACTATCCTTAAACCAACTTGAATACAGTTAATATCATACTCTGAACCTTCACAGTGAACATGTTTGAAGTTTAATAAAAACGAATTCAAAATCTTTTAGAATGCATACATTTTAAATTATTGATAGGAACCACGGCATACAATCGTCTAAAATAAAAACAAATATTCATTCAAATCTCTTCTACTCGTCGTTAACACTACTCAAATAGCACCAACACTGCAGATTTGTCCAAACAGAAGATGACAATATTATTTTTCAAGATAGCATAACTCTTTTTATAAATCTCGTTTTAGAGACTTTATTAAATAACAAATGCATGATGATATGAAAATAAAGTTTTGATCGAAATATCGAATTGAATAACAATAACTCGCAAAATAAACAGATACCAGAGAATCAAATTATTTTTTTTAGTGTTAAATAATCAACTAGTTTAATCGTATTCCTAACCATAAATATAAAATAGTAGTTCCATAATATACAGGTTCTATTTTGAATTAATATACTCAAAAATAATTTAACTATAATAGTAATTTATTATGTCGTTTGTTTTTTTCCAATTTAACATAAGAAGATAATAAAAAATAAAAACATGTAGTTATCAGTATTGTAACTACATTTGAGTCAAGTTAAAAAAAACTGATAATACAATAGCCTGACCTCCGATATGCAGTAAATGGATTACACGATCGAAACACTACTTGCCAGTGGAATATTTCTATTGTTGGTAACCAATATTTCTTATTTCCTCGACCGTAAAACGTATCTACGAGACTTAAGATTTACTACATAATGCTTTTTTTTGCCATGAGATATTTTAGAAAAAGTAAGGGAGTTGTAATACTATTTAAACTCAATAGAATATCCACCTTTCTACTAATAATCACTAAAAACTCAATTTAGTTTAAAGAAAAACATATTATAGTCACGCATTTCATTATAGACCTATCAATTTTGGATGATCACCGTCATTAATAAATTTCGAACATTCATTTTGAATACAAATATAATGACAACATTTTAATTTATGTTATAGCATGAAAAATTAAACTAAATAACTTGTCAATTATCATAATGTAATAAAACATTAATTTGAAAATGTTCATATGATTAATCATAAATCGTTCCCATATTAATATTATATGAGCCATTTACATTCTACATTATAGGTACTCACCATTTTTTTTCTTTAGAATTTCAATAAATTTATATTTTTTTTTTATTAAAAAGATACTATGGATTGTAAGATTGTGTGTATGGTGTATTCAATAATTATTACCAACCACAACCGTGATACACATTAAAATTAAGTCGTTTAACTGTATGGCAAATTGTTAAAACCTTACTATGTCAGAGTTTAGATTTTAGTATAATATTATGTATTCAGTCTATATTTTATTCAATAGATCACAAGATATGTATTCTAGTATACAATTTTTTTTTCGTTTTACTTCATTTTCATTAAATTCATCCACAAAACCAGTTGTATACTAAATAACAAGCATATTATAATGGATGAAATAGAGTGAGATCCGGCATTATACGGATACCTTAAAATAATGTCACTGCTTTTATTGTAGGTAAGTTTCTGAATATTAAAACTAAATTAACATTTTGAAAAATGTTTTTTAATCCTCAAATATTCTTTATTTGGTTTAAATTCAAGTTAAAACTTCATCGCGGAAAAAACATTGATTTATTAGGCTTTATTTAGTTATTTTTTTTAATAATAATAATAGTATGAACATTGAACATCAATAATATACTTCATTAAATGATCATAATGTCTAAACATAAAATGAGTTACTATTTTAATACGATTTCTAAAAAAATATAATAATTAAATGTACAGCATTTCGTTCACAAAAAAAAATATGAGAAAAATAATTATAAAAAATATATTATATAGCAATTCTATCTCCATTTAAGATTAATTTGCTTTTATTCATATTTTTTATCTGTTAACGCATAAGCATTATATTATATGGTTTAGTCAAAAATATCTTAATCTGATATTTATAGTTCATAAGCCATAACTTACAAACGACCTCGGATAAAATAAAATGTATGTATTTCTTTTGAAAATAATATTAAAAATACATTTACAAAATTGGGGACATAAATTGTAATTTTAATAAACATAATTTTTATTTTATAAAAACAAATAAATGTCGAATATCAACACATTTAAAGTGTGATGATAAAAAGTTGCACAAATGTCTTTGTAATATATTATTATTATAAAATTTAAAAAACGATTTCTAAGTGGAGTCCAGATATTTTGTCTCACACTGTGTCTGTTGATCTTTCTTAAATGCTTTATTCACAATTTTCTTAAATTTGAAGCTGGATTACTCCTGGGAAACTCATAAATATTACTTATTTAAGTACCAGCTGATGATACAGATGTCTCACTACACAATAATTATTAAATTTAACTAATGCATATTTACTAATTTATTACAGGTGTTCAAATCGCATACTCTGCCGTAATTGGAACAAATTTGTTCATCTTCGCTGCCAGTGTCATATTACTCCTTGGAATCGTCAAAGTAAATATTACTCATCTACACTAAGAACGTTTTATTTCGAAGGCAAACAATCCATATAACTTACAGACGCCATTATCAACAATTCAACATGACTTTTACAATGTCGAACTTTTCTTTTCCCCTCGGTATCTTTCTCTTATTTTTATTCTGGTTTTTTTTATTTATTATTTTCTTTTCTATTACAAATAAAATCATGACCGAATACTAAAGGCAACAACCATTTTATTTACTTTTATATCGAAAGAAGTAGTAAGCTACACTGTATGTGTGAAGACATATTGAATTAAAAACGTATTCCGATTCGTTTTTATTGATCGCGGACGGTTGAATAAAACATTTATTACTTATTAGTTAATACACAAGTATATAAATACTCATAAAATATAATAAACAACTCCAGCAAAAATGTTTAAGACTCATAAACTATATTTATCTTTAATTTGAATTTATACATCACGTTCAAATCAATCTTATATTTAAACATCAACTTAACATTTAAATTATGTACCTCATTATATACCTTATTAAATCGCGACAAATAATATTTAAATAACGAATAATTTTTGTTATTCTTTAACTGAAAGATTAACCAAGTCCTGTTTATTTTGATGGTTCTCTATGGGTCTATATATATGTTATATTTTATACAATTTAGATACCAAACCTCCTTGAAATATTTCATGATAGTATTGAAAACTTATTATGCTATAAACTATACCCAAAGTGTTTTAAAATTGTTCAGGAAAAGAAAGTAGAAGATCCTATACAACACAACAGATATTTTATTTAAGTATACACCATATACCTAACATAAAACTTTGTTTGACATAGGTATATATCATTAACTAAAATTCAAATATTTGAAAATGGTTTTACAAATAACGTATAGCTTATTGATAAGACATTTAATACCTTGACTCAACCCGAGTAAATAATAATTTAAATGGAAATTATCTAATGACATTTACTTACTTGTGTCAATAACGATAAAACCCATATTTATCCAGTAACTCAACTATAATATATTAAGTGGCCCCAAACTATAAATGTTACATGCACAACATAATTATTGGAGCAGAATTAAATACATAATAATAGGATGCATCTAAATTTATACACATAACAATTAATGTTATTTGAACGAGTTATTACTATATATTATTATCATTAAACTGTTCCTTAGTCAATCAGACCTTATAATTAGATCACATTATGCTGTTTAAGACCTGATTCACCGCTTTTAAACCCAGGGACGTAACTCCTTGAAAGTTAGTAAAGTGTTAATTTCCAAATATTAAATAAAAATGGGATTCGAAATGATAGGGGTTGACACTCAGAAATCTCCAGGAATTCGCATAAGGTTACCGGAACATGGTCGTTCCCTAGAATACAACACAACAAATTTTTAGAATTATTTTTTTTCACCAATAAGTATTTCATGATATTTTAAGTCAAATGGTATTTTAAAATATTATTTATTTTAATAGAGGATCCATTCCGACATAAATATTAGTCAGTAAATCAAGTAGATGTGAATCCCTCTACTGTTATACAACTTGACTATGTTTGACGAACTGACTTCTTTGGTATCTTACACTTTGACCGTTAGAATGTAACGTATTTAATTTTTATGAGCAGTAACTACAACACTGCATCACTGTGTAACCACAGAACAACTGTTGGGTTAGGTTATTTTAGGTTTCTCTTGAATTATAATAATTGAGTGTTTATGAATTAAATTATCAACTAATGGTTTGCGTTAGGAAAATAAATACATATCCTTTAGGTAATAGGTATTCAGGACACTAATATAATGTACGAATGTTTAACAAGGTATGTTGATAATAGCAATTATGAAATCTTTATGAGGCAAGTTCTCGTTTAAATTGATTAGTATTGCTTCGTATTTTATTTTTATTTATTTTTTGAATTGAGCTATTTACAAACAATAGAAGCAAATTATTTTATAATTTCGTCTGAGTCAATATGAGTTTTTGAAATTTCAATGGAGGTATCGTTTTTCGATTTTGACTGACGCTGCGATGTAGGATTTTCTGTTGTTTTTTAGTAGAGCCGGTGTAAAGATGGTATAAGTAGGATTTATTGAATATTGTCATTTTATTTTTAGATTTTTGGGATAATTAGATCTCCATAATTATTGACTGACGTATTGAATGGATTTTTAAATCCCACTATTTTGAATATATTTTTAGAATTATTTATTTATTATTTCGATTAGGTATCTATAAATTAAACATATTAAATCATTAAATCAAAACTCTTGATATTTTGCATTTTTAAGTTAATTACGTATTTTTATATTGATCAAAGATCTGAATATCTATTCGATAACCTAATGATTAGGTGCCGTACATTTATTTTATGTTCCCTACCAACCCCGAACATTCCTGTAATTTCTCGCCAAGTTAAGTTTCCAGGAATTGCTGAACCCTACTAACGACAGACTAATGAACAAAATAGGTAATTACAGAATATTCAAGTACCTACCTCTTTAATATCGATGTATAGCTGTATAAGTATTGAGTATACTACCTACCAACTTCTCTGCTATTGGTATTATATTTCTTTGCATCAAGTAACTTTTTCGGTACTCCAATAATACTATTTAAAATGTCCACTAATATTTCATTATTAAAAAGCTAATTATTCATAAAAAATATCCTATCATAAGATAGAATTTTAAATATTACCATCATAAGAAATATATTAGTTAATATCTCGTCATTTCCCTAGGTATGAATAATGATTCAAATACTATGGATTTCATTTAAAACTTTGAAATTTATTTTTTGTTAAGTATTTGAATTGGCCTAAAAGGTATTATATAAGATGAAATAAGTGACTACTTAAGTAATAAATTAGGTGTTTAACCTAATAAATATTATAAACACACATTTTTCGTTATGTTTATAGTAACTAAAACGATACAAAATGTAGTATAGGTATATTCTAAGTTTAAAAAATAATTTCTGTTTCAAAAGTTAAACATTTGTGTGTTTTTTCAAATATTAAAATTAAAATTTTGTAGATTTGCATTATTAATGTGAATTAAAAATGTCTGTATATAGAATATAGATCTCCATTCAAAATCTTTCAATATTTATAATATATGTTATACATAGTTATGTTTTTAAAAATATATAAATACCTACATAGTCTAATATACTATTTTTAATAATTTCATTCACGACGTAGTGAATTACGAGGAATATTACAGGAATAAAAGTTCAAGAGTAGGTAACGTTATCTCTGGTGACTAAAGTCACTTTACTGATGACAATTCACACAACGCTAGTGTTCAATTAATGGTCAATATTATTGTATTATGTACGGCCAAATAATCACCATGGTCCCAAGTACTTATTGTAATTAAAATCAATGAGTTTACATATCACTACCCTTGTCGCTACGCCGTTACCACTTCAACGTGGTTTTAACCGTAGTGCGCTACCCCCAACATCATCACCTCGCCGTCCACTTCCAACGCAACGACCCCCAGTGATACATCAGCTTGTGGCCTACCTGCATCAGTATGGTATATTCGCTTATTATTTTACTTTTCGTAAATGAGCTCCTTCAACATCAGTCTATGTCACAATGAAACATTCCTACTCTTACATTGTATCAATTTTCTACGTGTGTAATGCACTTGCATTATTTTAATTCAACATTGCCCACGAAGATATAATCAATCTGTGTCATGCTTCCCACACTTATGTAAAACATTATTCGTACTTCTTTCACTTACAACACGATAATCAATCACACTAAACAAACCGTAAAACTTAACGCTGGTTTTCAATTTTATGTTAATTTCCCGAATCAGAGCTTTTCACAACATCTATATTAGGTTTACTACAATATATTCCACGCTAGCTCTCCAGAGAAATATTATATTAAACCAGTTTCATCATTATTCATGACTCATTACAATTTACACCAACCATAACATTACAACCTAGTCTAATATTCTAGTCAAAAGAACTAGAAAAACATCATTTTTTTTTTAAATTTATAATGAACAGAATAATTGGTTCCTATATACAAATGTTCTTTTAAAATACATAATATGACGAAGGACTAAGATATTAAATATGTAACAAGGCTAACCAGACATGCAGATGGGTGGTAGGAACTTGTCACATTGCTATTACTTTCTTCATTCATATCCATTGCAATAAAAAACTAAAAGCAATTGTGCTAAAACCCTAAAAACCAGTTAAGTCCACAAATATGACGAGTATTTAGAGCTATACAAAATAAAAATAAAAATAGTAAATGTGTAGATTACTCGACAGCTGACAACTATTTACGTTAATTGCAATATTCGTTTAAGTTGCATAGTATCATGTATCATCAATTCCAAAACTTTGTTGAAAATGATTTTTAAAAATTAACTAATATTAAATTGTATAAGACCGCACTTCTAACAGGCAATACATTTCGAAATTTTAAATATTTACTTGATAGTTACATGTAGTTATATGTTATTTGTAGTTAATATGCATTGGGTACTTACTGATGTAAATCGAATTACAAATAATATCTTTGATATATTCAGTTATTTCCAATATATTACTTTATATATATATATATATTTATATTATGTAACTTCGCAATTTATAACCTATAAAAAGTGGATTAATCTATTGAATTTAATTTCAAATCTAATCGTTTGAACATCATAAAAATGCTTTCACTTCGTTTATTACGAGATGTAATATTAAAAATGTATTGGGGTGTAAAAACCATACTTATTTATTTTCATTCAAGTGCCTACAATTATTAATTGCATTTTTATATTGACTTTTAACATTTATAACATTCCATCAAAATGAAGCAGATGAACGTTTGTTTTTTTTTTAACAGTATGACTACAAATCCACTTACAGACATTATACTTTTGTATTTGTAATATAACTAAACCAACTATTAAGATATAAAACACAAACTAAATTTTTTTTTTTTAATTTAAAAGG